AATAAATAAATAAATGCAGAATGTTGATGCTAGAAAAAATATCTCAGGATTTTATTTTTGCTTCCGGATTTGACAAAAGGTCTGTCTCCAGGTATCTCCTGTGAGCAGAGCTAGCCTGTGTGGCTTTGGGCAAGGTGCACAGTCTCAGAGAATCCCCAGAACAAGGGAAAAAGGTAAACCACTTCTGAGTATTTTCTACCTAGAAAACTTGGGAAAAAGTCACCATAAGTAAGAATTGACTTGATGGCACATAATTATTATATTATTAGTCTGTCTTCAGAGTTTGAGGTACTCATCTTAACTTGCAAACTTTGGCTCTGTCTCAATTCAATCACTTTCATACACACAAGTCTTAAACATTTCAAGTCATTTTGGAATGAATTAAGCACTCAGGTGTCACAATATTTTGTAAATCTACACACAAAGAACCTCAATAGGTAAGTCTAACTTTTATTTTAATTCTCCATGCCACAAACTCAGCTCAGGGTTATTCAATTAGTTCACAATTCATGAGATATTTCTCGGAAATAAATGGCCAGACAAGCATTTGAAACAAATGCATACTATGGTATTAGTCCAAGGTAAATAAAGTAAGGGTGCTGGCTGTTACAAGAGAAAGAAAATTGCCTGGACAGATGCTTTTCTGTGTGGTTTTCATCATACAATTCATACACATCCCCTCTCAAAGCTGGTGCCCTGAAGATGTTATGACCTGATTAGGGTGATAGTTCCGACCCATTTCGAAAGCACCAGGATTGCGAAGGTTAATATGCATATTAGAAAATGTTCACTTGGCTATAGAAACAAACAAACAAAAAATAGTAATAAAATCCTCCTCTCATACCGAATACTCATCAAGAAGAGCAGGAACAATAAAAATGAAACCATGTCTTTCCTGTGAGATTAAAAGAATATGTTGTTTCCAACAGCGTTTGAGAAAGACAGCCTTTGAAACCTGGCGTTTAGATTAACTGTTTCCATGAAACAGAGAACTCACAGTGTGACAGCAGGAGCAATTTATGGTAGGCAGGAAGTTACCGGGAGCTAAAATATGCTATGCCAGCAAAAAAGAGCAAGAACAAATAACTTTTCGAAGAGAGTTCCCTAGTAGGTGGTTGTGTCAAATGATTTGTTACGCTGGAAGAAAGCAAATAATTAATAAAGATTATTTTGTTTATATAAACACTCTAGACACCACAGGCAGGAAGAACAGGCCCTTACAGGAAAATAAGCAGTTCAGCAACTACTAGTAACTGCCTTAATAGATATCAATTAGGCACAAACATATTTCACGATGGTTTCTAACAAAAAGAATCTTACTGGCGAGTTCTAATAAAATACAAAATGAATGATAAGATTCCTTTGATCACAAATAATAACTTTTCTTAATTCTTTTAAAAATACTTAATACAAATAATTATTTTAAAAGTTAAAGATGCTAGCTAAAAGTTGTTATTGTTACTGTTGTTGTTGTTGTAGATATGTATAGGAGGACCAACATATTATAAACCTTACCTCTTAATACATATCCACCCATCATTATGATGGACCTTTAGCTAGTGTTTGTAATTAAAGTGTAAGAACTGATGCAAGGTAACATGAAGTGACTTCCCCTGGCACCAAGATTCCTATCCAGTGTGAACAGAGTCAGCCATTCTCAGTATGTATGCCACATTTTGGCCTCCAGCAAATTTTTATTTCTCACCCAAAGCAGCTCTCTCAGCCATTCCCTTATGTGGAGAAAGATGAGATACATGAGGACTAAGCCTGCTTTCCTGCCTTTGATAGCCACAAGATCACACAGATACACAAACATCCTTCCCTCTACTCTTACTCCCCCCACCACTTTCTCCAGATGAAACTACTGCAGCCCCTTTCTTTCCTGCACTCCAAATGGTGGGATAAATCTTCTCTCCTCCTCTCTCCTTCCCTTCCTATACTTCCCCACCTCCACCCTGTCCAGCAGATTAGCAGTGGGAACTAGATATTGGCTATTTGTATCCCTGTGGATACAAATATGAATTGTTCCCTCCTTACAGAACCAGCTGCTACACTCACTGGTTGCCACACAGTGGTATCTGGTGGGGTCCTTTGTCATCATCGTTGCGCCAGTCTGGGAAGGAGTCCGGCCGGTGCGTCCCTGCCTCCCTGTGCAGCTGACCACACTGGCAAGGAAGGAGGACAAGGAGTCTCCCTACTCAGCTGATGAGCGGTTGGCTGCAGAGAGAAGCAGGGAAGTGCCGTCTGGACTCCTTCCTGGATTGGGGCAACAACAACGAAGGATCCCAGTGCTGCATGGTGACCAGTGAGTGGACCAGTCGGTTCTTGGGGGGAGGGAATGGGCTTCTGTGGCACCTCTGGTGCTGCTATTCATATCTGCATCCCCAGGGATATGAATATGAATAGTCTACCTCTAATGGGAACTGCTGTGGAACCCATATAACAGTGTATTCCTCAGCTGTGTCCAGCACCACTCACTTGGAGAGTATGCATACAGAGACTGCAGCGATGCCACTGCATGTCTCTCTCCTTGCTGCTAAGACCATGAGCAATGGAAACAGCTGACAAAGAAGCAGATGGCATACAGCTCTTTTACAGGACCGATCAATTGGTGTGAGGGGGGAGTAAATCAGATGAGAAGTACAAAGTAGTGCACTAGATCACGTCTATCAAATGTTTTCCATCAGCTAACTTTCCAGAGTCCTCAATTAAATTGGAGGTTGAGCTGCTGGATAGGTCAGTAGATTAGGTCTCTAGCTGCAGAACCAGAGGTTGGAAATTTGATCCCTCAGCATGCCTCCTTAACAGGGGCTGGACTTGATGATCCACGGGGTCCCTTCCAGCTCTGCAGTTCTAAGATGATGATAATACACCCTCTTTTAAAAGCATCAACAAATAAGCCAGATTTGGAGATTTAGGATGAGAAAAGGCACAGACGTAGACAGATACAGAGTCTTCTTCAGTCCTTCCTAATCTCCTACTAAGGAGGTCCTGGATTTTTGTTGTTGTTGTTATTTCTTTACATTCAGAGCTGTTGTCTCCTCCACCATTTCAAGCCACACATCATCTGCAGCACAAAAGCTGAGCTAAACATTATCAAGACTGTTTCCATGAAGACACGTATAAGGTAATTTGATTACTGTACTTCTGTTTGGTTTGTGCTTTGAAGTGCCGTGATTTCATTAATGAGCATTTTTCTCTGCCATGCAAACAAAGAGCCTACTTTGTGAGCCAATGACTGCAGTCCATTCTGCAAACCAAGTTCCCTTCATGTACATAATGTTCACTTTTTATGTCAAGTAAATAACCCTTGCAAAGGAATACATAAAAGAAATGTTGTCAGCATCCGTTAGACATGGAACCTGTGCATGCTAGTTTGCTACTACATGTCTGTAGAAAAATATGATGCAGAAATTACATGCATCAAACTTGTATTCTACAGTCCACTAGATATCATTTAAGCATAGAATCACTGGTAAAAATGAAACCAGCTGCCAGAGAAGCCATTTCTCTTACCCCTTTGCTCTCAGAGCATTCTATTACACATGCTCAGAAATAGCATGAGGTATCTTAAAGCAGCTACTTGGACTCAAGCAGAATGGTAGGCTTCCTGGCTGATTTAATACAGCCTATCCTTGGCTCCTTTTCAGCAAGACCTCCCACTGATTATTGTCAAATAGATAGACGGGGAGCCACCATTTTAATTCCCCACAATGTCCCCACAATGAAGATCTATTCCAATGAAGATCTCCCAATTTAAACTCAGTGGTGTTGGGAAGGTGGCCAAGAAGGCTGGCTTGCATAAAGCTCCTCAAGGCCTGATGTATTTATTCTGGCCCTCCACTACCCCCCCCCTTCCCATAGGAGCATCCATGACAACTGTTTCTATGCTGCTAACAGAGGTATACAAACAGGGACCTTGAAGCAACTATGGTCACTGCTCCCCTCACCATTCATGCAAACAACTTAGCCTTCTTTTTCCTTAGCAACCTTCAGCAGGATCATGGATACGAGGGTAATGATAAAACCTCCCCTACTTCATCGAGCTTCCTCCAACGCCAATGTGTTTATATGTATTCACATTTATGGACTAAAGTATATTCACATCTGTTTTGCTGCCTCCCCATCTCCAGACTTGACAAGATATCTCAAGGAGGAATTTTTAGCCCCTGCAAAATCTCTCACATTTCAATGAGAGAAGCAAAGTGTGTGTGAGCATGCATTCACACAGACAGTAAGCACAGATCAATGGCTTATTATTAAAAGAGACATAAACACCCTCTCCCATGCTTCTGCCTTTATGTGTCCATGTAACATAGCAAGAATCACTGTCACTTGCAGTAAATTGTATTGTCCGCATTAAAGTGTTGTTTGTATCAAAATATTATTTTGTGTGATTTTGCTTGATTGGGCAGAGAAGTTCTAGTGCCATTTCTCCTCACTTGCCAAAAATAAAACAACATTCTCACAGGGTAAGAATAATTCTGCAATTATCAGGACAAGACAAGCAAGAATTTCCACACCTTTTCTCCCAAATTGTCTTCTTCATTCTTTTGTGTATTGAGATATACTGGAGAGTTTCCAATACCAGCAACCCCTTCAAATACTGTTTAGTTGCATCTGCTACACAGTTAGATCAGAATAATTCAATCTTATCAGTGAGAATAGGCTGTTCTAACATTCTAAAACTGTTTTGTTTGTATCTAGGAGAATGCCAAAGAATTTCTTAGTGATGTTAAGAAATGCATCTTTTCCTCTGAAATTCAATCACAATTTTATGTATCACTTTCTGCAGATATGTATTTAATAGACCATTAAGAATTATTTAATAGAACTTAACAAAATGTACAACAGATTTAGAGAATAAATCTTAAATCTACAGCACTTTTGGTATTCATATTGTGATCACTGGGATTTCGTACTTGCTCTGAACATTTGATAAAAGAGAGTCCCTCTTGGTTCACTGCAACTGGTTGCTTTATTTAAAAAGCAATGCTTACCTGCAGACATGCAGGCGCTCTGCCCTGAGGCTTATTCACATCAACATCTACAAGCTGCCATCCTCCTGCAGCATCTTCATGAAACATCTGGAGGTGAGAAAAAACCACCTGTCAGAAGCAGTTTATGTGCTCAAATAGACAGACCAAACCAGTGATGTGTTTTTTCTCCCCCTTGAGCATCATTCTCTCTATAGAGCATTCTGACAAGTAATTTATTAGAAGATATCTCCTGCTATTACAGAGAACATGACTCAGACTCTGTCATTTTTCTGCTGTAAATATTTTACGGTGTTTGAATTTTGTTAGTAAGAGCTCTTCTGAAACGTAGCACACGTTGCTAGAGTTAGCCACAGCATCTGACAGAAATGGGAGTACGATTTCAGGTTTTGAAGATCTAATGTTAAATAAATATTAGAGTATGGCTATACTAGGGTAAAATCCTGTGTTTGATTATTAGGGCTTAGCATGTTTTACATTTATTTTTCAAAAGGTGACTACATGACGCACATGGAGGTGCAGATTTTTTCCCTGGGGAACCATGTTTTTTGTTGTATTTTAAAGGGCAGCAAGAGAATTGTTTATTTTAACTCACTTGTGAAATCAATTCAATTGGAATCATTTTGGCATATATAAAAACCCTTTGTTGGTCTAAACTGTATTTGTGAAGACTCCCTCTCCCACTACTCACTGGTGTGCCCTCTTCTCTTGCCAGTTCTGGCTGCCTCATTTCCCCCCCCCGCCACTTCCCCAGGCAGTGTCACTCAGAAGTTCTTTTTAAATTTGCTTTTATTTTTTCATTTTTAGTGCTACATCATTTTACCGATATGCCACTACGAAACTAAAAATAAATAAAGCTAGCTCATGTGGCTTGTCTAGCATTGCTGCGAATTGCTGCTTCAAGTAGGCGAAGGTGCGGAGAATGAGCCCGGGGAAGCAAGTGAGTGTATCTCTGGAGCCAAGGGTCTGGCCTAAGGCTGCTGATTTTAGGAAGAGAAACTGATACCAGGACAATTGAGATAGCTAATTCTAAAGGCTATTGAAAGGCTTTTCATCACATATCCTCCATGAAAAGAAAATAATAAAATGGCAGAAATGTCTAACTAACACCGTAAAGGAATGAATGGGATTTACATAATGAGTAAACACTACAGAATGGTCTTGACTAAAGTATTGTGATAATATAGTACCACTACAAGTGCTATATGGAAGCTCAGTTTTAATTCCACCAGGAATTACTTACATAAAGGCAACAGCTCTGAAGTATTAACAGACTATACCCTAAAAACAATCAGAAATAAATCTGCAAGGTATGCCTTTTGAGTCTGGTAATCTTTGCTTCTGATATTTTCACTTAGCAGCATCACATTACCTTCTTCGCCCCCCCTCTCTTTTGCATGAAAGAGTCTTAGTAGCTGTTTTCATATACCTACTAGAGTTCAAAGCCCCTCCTTCCTCAAGCAGCAGTCTCTCAAGACAACTGAATTTTAAAGAGAGAATGCATTTGATATAATTAGGACTGACAAACTCTGTATGCACTGGTTGTTGAACGATAATGTTAAGAATAAAATAGCTATGGACTATGCAGGCTTTGAAATCATCTAATTCTGGATCAGATACTGTACTCCATTGCTTCCTGTTAATACATTCATAACAACTGCTTCACACATTGGTAAATGTGCAATAGGACAACAAGTTCATATCTACAAATGTATCACTGCAATTTAAAATGTATAGCGATGTCTACCTGGGTAGTAGCTGTTGAAGTAGTACTGCTTCTGGACCCCCACATCTGTTGGAACTGCACACGTATTTCAGCAAATGTTTCAATGATCACAGCAATAAATACATTCTGCAAAGTAATTATATATCTATATGTAAAAAACCAAGTGGCTTGCAGTAAAACACAACATGCAAAACAAAAGAAGGTGGGAAAAAGCTCAATCTGACACAATTTATTTTTAAGAAGATTTGACAGACTCTCCTCTACTGTACCTTAACAAGCCAAGCAAGAAAGAAAATTAAGGTGATGAAATAGAAGTACGAGCGCCATCGAGGGAAGCTGTCAATTGCTCTATACATCAGGAAGACCCAGCCTTCTTGGGAAGCAGCTTCATAAACAGTAAATATGCTGGTACCTACAAGCCAAAAATTGAACATACAGTACATTGAATGAAGATTAAAAGAAGCATTTTCAAATTGAGTAGTCATCAGCTTTCTTTATTTTCCTTTCTTCCAAAGAAGCAGCAAATACATTTCACATTCATTATTCTTATGACTGACTTTTAGTCACTGCAGTATTACAATGCATAACACTTGATCCTCAAAAAAGAGATATGTCTGTAAATGTGAATGTGTTTTCAGAGGGGTTCAATATAAGTACTTGTGATTGGGTTTTCTTTCTTTAATTCAGTGATATCTCAATAGGTTTTTTTAAGCATGTGTTTAAAGGCACTTAAGCATAATCTGCAACTAATATAACAGTAATCACTATACTTTCTGCTGCAGATGCCCACCTGCTTGATTCTATCCCAGAATGGAAACAACTATTCTTCTCCATTTTAATGAAAGAAGCCGCTGGTCTTTTCAGAATGAATGAGAAATAAAGGGGGAAAAAACTCCTTTGGAGCTAAACAGAATTTAAAATATGAACTCAATGAGATCATTAAAGATCATTAAAATGATTACAATCACTAAAATGCAGGCAGAGTATAAAAACAATTTTTTTAGATAGTTACTCCTTTAACCCCCTAGCCAACATGGCCAAATGTGCACCACACAGTTGTTGAAAAAAGTAACTTTTTCAAAGCCATGCTACTTAGGGGATTTAGGGAGAAGTAATCCAAAAATAACGCTTTTCAATCTATGAATGCAAGACTGGGCATGAAAAGTCAAAAAGGCAAATACAGTCTCAGGGTTTGATCAGATGGCACTTTAGCCCATGGCTTGGATTTCTTTGGAAACAGGCTGATATTAATCCATTGTCTAGTGATCCCATAATGTTCCGCTAATTGCAAACCAGCTCAACACTTATCCATGTCTAGCTGTACTTTTCTGGGTCTCTGGCAGGGGTTAGCTTTTTTCTTTTAAAAAGTGCAGGTAAGATCACTCCATTTTTGGTCCGGTTCTGGCACGAGTGATTGCTGGTATTGAACCAAAGGATATACCCCATAGTGCAGTATGCCACTAATTATAAAACACACTCCATAAAACACTTCAGTGACAAACCAATTCAGTGGCATACTACTTTAAAAATGTTTTTAAAAATTGGAGCTTCCCCACCAACTCCCCTATGGAGGGGGAAGGAGGAAGGGACACAGAGGGGAACTATTTTGTGCTTCTCCCCAGTTCCCTTTAAAGGGAAAAATGGGTTAAACAGAGTTGCTTGAGGTACCATGTGGCTTCATGCCTCCAAACCACCCAGTTTCACCCAGCTGAAATTTATATAGTGAGATCTTCAACTGGACTGCAGCAGAACAAAGGGTTTTACACCTACACAAATAGACACGCAGAAAACATGTCAAAGTCATAGTAGCTCACCTTCCCAGGTTGGAAGGGAAAAATCCTCCATCCAAGAGCAAATTCTGAGATTATAATTCCAGGGATCTGTATACATTGAACAACATGGCCCTGATCCCTGGTCCAGCCAGGCAAAGTCGGGCAGTCCAGCACTCCCCCCCAAACTGGTGACTATATAATACAAATTATAAGCTATAATAATAATTATAAGCTTCAGTGGAAAGTTACAGTTATGATGCAGGATAGGAGAGATCTCCTTCACTTGCCTTGATGGTTGTCATTTCATCTATGCTTATTTTCACATTTGTGAGGGTTATAAGCATGATGAAAAAGTGATATCTAGAGGCCTGGTTCACATGTAACACTAAGCTATGATGCACAAGCCTACACACACATATAAAGTCTTCAACGCAGTCAAAGGAAGAAGCATTTATTTCCATGTTCAATTATCCACAGCTTACTAAATCTATGGTCTGGTCTATTCAGATGAGTGACTGTTCTAAGAAACAACAATAGCTAATCACATTTTGTCCCTGTTTGTTTACAAAGACAGATCACATCTAGTGGAAATCTGAGTTCAAGCTTCTGATCTCATCCAGACCAAGCTAAGAAACTCTAAGAAACTAATCAAACTACAAATCCCAGAATTCTGTACACTGGAGCCATGGCAGTTACAGACATACTGAAGTGCTGTACTTGTGCCAAGTAGACAGTCATACTTTAGTGAACACCGCCAATGATTCTGTTGTCTGTGGATACATCAAGTTTCATCTTTCTCAAGTACATTTAACCACTAAATAGCTTTTTTTCTGTTGTTATTTCTTAAATCTTTTCCCCACCAATTTCAGTAACAAACAATACTTTGAGGAAAAAAATGGAATTTTCCAGCATGTCAAGCAAGGACACATCTACTAAAAACTACAATCTCTACAACTCAAAAGGCAATTGGCTGTTGAAATCATTTTTCACTCTATTTAATTTATACAGCAGGACTGCCA